ACTTTTCCAAATATTACAGAAACTGGGAGACCGTCTTAAAAGTTGGATTTCGTTATTTGTTAGTGTTTTTAATTTGAAATTGCCAAAATATTTTTTGTTGTTCAAAACACTTCTGTAATTGGAAGTATATGACTATATCAAATGTTTTCCAATACGCAGTACGGGTAAGGACTTTTAACCCTAGTAAAGGGTTTCGGTATATATATGTAATTTCACTTCAATGTTGCTTAAAACTTCAATGTTGCACGGGGCTAATTGTTTTTGAGTTATGCGAGATACATTCATATTTACGTACATACATTTGTGCCTTCGTACAGACTTCAAGAAGAAATCTGCTTTGAATGTATTTTAAATACATTTTTTAATCCGTTTTGGAAAAACACAACACGTACAGAAACAAATAGTACGTATTCTGTCCGTACATACAGATATCATGGAAAAAAATCGTCCATATAGATTCAGAAACAGTCAAAATGGATATTTCTGTTGAAATGTAATATTCGAAATTTTTCCCAATTACAATACTTCTTTTACTTCGTGCAAGGAAGTAAAACTAAAAGATAAATAAAATTTTAAAGGAACAGTTAAGCGTACTGTCTTCAAAAGGGAAATGAATAATCATGAATTTTGATCCTCTTTCTCCTATTAAAAAAGAGGAGAGGAGACGAATTTATTGTAGTTTATTACGATGGAAGGAAATTGCGGTATGCAGATTCAGTATTCTGCTATGTTAAAAAGGTTTACGAGACAACCACATCATGTGATTGAAACTCGCAGTAATTCAATTTTTCTGTCACAGGGTTCTAACATCCAGTCCACAGAAAAAATGTATGAAATGATATAATCTAGTACGCATAGTTCGTGTTATAATGTACATGGACTTGAAACATCTCCGATCACTCGGGGAGATGTAGCATTCTTAACAAAAAAGCTTGGATTTCTTTGATCAAAAACAAATTCCTGTTAGCCTCAACCATCTCATTTGCCAGATTTCTCATCTTCTGATTCCGATGTTTTCTCGTTTTAAGATGATTATAAAAGGTCAGTTATTTCGGAAAATTCGCAATAACCAATCTAAGATAGGTCGAGACGTTCTTCTAATGCTTTCAGGAATGTGAGAAGTCTTGAAGCCGATGTGTGTATTCGGATGAATGTTACTTCGAAGGTGACTAGAATATAACTTTAACATTTCAGACGCAGCTGCCCTACAATCTGCCCTACAAGTGTTATAGTAGATCAATGACCGGAGAAGAAAAATAAAATTTTAGAAACTAGCAAGAACTAATGGTACGATTTTGACATGTACCTGATAATTATATCAACAAACGGAAAACAAATAGGAAGCTGAGTAAATCAAAGCTTAAAATTAGGTTACTTAAATACGCCAAAGTATACAATGGCTGTATAAGGGAAGGGAATACCTTCGTGGAGGGTTTTCTAAGGAAAACTCTCAGTCCAGTTACGCACGAGATGAACTTCGAAAACCAACCATGCAACCAGCCCGTTCATCAGAGTACAAGTTTGAGTCCTTTACGAGTACAAAGATTCGGTGGTTTTAACCACTAGACCACTGCTGGCGCGCCAGGACTTAATTTTTAGGTTTATAGCAGATGCGAAAAAAGACTCATACTATATTGTAAATAGATATGGTTTGAGAATTGAGAGAGATAAAAAGTTCTACTCAAATTTAAACGAATGTTAAAGAAATACAATCACAGGGTTTGTTGGCCTCTTTGCCTGGAAAAGAATAGGTTCTAAATTCGATTCTCAGGAAACGTTAACTTTTGTTATCATCACTATTCGAATTTTCTCTTTATTCGTAAATAAAGTAATAGGCAGCCAGAGAACAATTGCACTCAAAAACCACTGAAAATGTTATAAGCATGAATGTTTATGGAAATCATAGAATTTGACTTTCTTTGGTAGCATAAACAACTATCAAAACCCTACCAGATTTAGAGCAAATTATCGTTGTATCTAAAATTAATGAAAGAGACTTGAAACCGTTAAAATAACCTTTTTATTAAATCAGAATTTTAACATAAAAACATTTGCCGTGCTAACAGAATCGACAACCACTTGTAGCGAAGTAACTTACAGTAACAGTTAAATTAAGCCTGGAAGACAACGTCTGCGCAAACGATTTTAACTGTAAGTTGGCTTAGAACTTCTCACCATGGTAAAAATTAAATGTCGGCAGCAATAACGCAAAGCCGAAGAATTACAAGCTTATCAGAGCTGGTAAAGCCTAGTAACGAGGCTTCGAGAGGCAGAAACACGCTCTGTATTACGATCCAAAACCTTCAACTTACATACTCTTTAACTGATTTGCATTTCTGGTGTGTAAACGGAAAAGGATAAGTTATAACAAAGGTCTAGTTCATAAGTACTGGTTAATTAAAATAATAATAATCCTACAAAATATTTAAACTCGTTTTCTATTTCTATTACAACAATAATGGTTTTCATTTATAGCTTTTATGGCTTTTAAGTAGTTCTTATTGAGAATCTGAGAAGCAGTTTTTAAGGTCAAAAGTATCTGATGTGAAAAGAAATAGTGACAATTTCAGCGTAAAACGTTAAATCGAAGATTAAGAATCTCTTGCCATATAAGATTTGCCACGCTTCAAATAATATTGATCATCAGAAAATCTTTTCAGTACTCTTCAGACCCAAATAAATCAAAAATATCCAGTAGTAAAAGATCTCGGCAACAAACTTGATAGAAATAGTCTGAAGAGCGAAAAGTTTTTAAGAAGTACCACATCTCCCACAGAATTCTTTTCGACTGAAGGCGATCATTCAGTTCATCTTCAGCGTTACATTATGTGCTGTTTACCAACGGTGTGCGAGATTTTCTCAATGAAATTGAAATTCAGCGCATTCAAGACTTTCTTTTTTAGGATTTATTTAATCAGATGAATAGTATGTAATTTGATCCTAAGGGTAGACTTAATTTCCGATGTATCTTCGATCGATTTAGACTATTATTTAATCAGATGAATAGTATGTAATTTGATCCTAAGGGTAGACTTAATATCCGATGTATCTTCGATCGATTTAGACTATTATTTCAAAGACTGCGACATTATGAATCTGTCCTTTTGATGTATGCTGTCTACATATCACTTTCTGTTAGGCATCTGAAGTGAAAGTTATTATTTTAAGCACTTTTGACAAACTCTACTTAGATTTTTATTTGTATGAAGATTATGTTGTATTTATTTGTACTCTGCTTAGATTATTTAGTACGAAGATACTGATGTAAATGATGTGATGAAATCGGCAATCTGACTACATAGGTTAAAGATCATTCTTACTAATGTCGAAAAAATATTTCTGTGAATAACTAAAAATAAAATTTGATAACCATTTCTAAGGTGAAAGGTTTTTCATTACAATTGTTTGCATAAATTATCTTACAGATCTTTCTTGTAACTTGCATAACTTGTTCTAGTTTGTTTTGAGTATAGTTTCTTGTTTTATGTAGTGAAATTCTATAGATAGTGGTCAAATCCCCCTCTGTTTAAAAGACATTTGGATTAGGGAAAAATTTGCTTTTACTATTTTAAGAAAATGTGTAATGACAATGCTTAAAATATATTGCTGGAACGTCATCTAATTTCTCGTAATTGTAAAGAAGCATTAAATAAAAGATAATGGTAATGCATATTTTCCCTTAAATATTTACAGATATGTAATAAATGTAACCCCTTCAGAAATCAAATTTGCATTATATAGAAAGATGAGTTATAAGTAAGCCAAGATATTTGTATTAGAATAAACAAAGGATGAGTTATTTGAATATAACTAAGCACATGAAGACTGCCTAAAGAAAAGGCTGCTTTTGTGGAGGACTTTGTAAAGGAAATTGGCTCGTGTTCACGTTACATTTGGGGAAAACCATGAAACCTAGTCATGCGCAGCCAGCCTTTTCGCCTCGATTCAAGTCCGGGTCGAGCTATCATTATTTACTAGTCTTAATCACTCGGCCACTGCTTAAGTCCAGAATAAAGAAAGTAGAAAAGATATAAATTTTATAAGGGAAACAAAACTTTAAGAAGCATTTCATTTTATTACATATGTTTATATTTTTGTATAACTCTGTTTCACTTTATTTATATTAAGGACAAGGAGTAGAATTAACCATTTTGAATAATTTCGATAACTATCCATTTTGAACTCACCTGACAAGTCCTGAAACTCTCTAATAAACGTGATTAAACGTTTGCACGCTGTCAATGAATTTTTAGCCTCTAAGACATCACAAAAATTCTGCTCATTTCATTGCTGATCAATAGTCAGGTTTCTCAGAAGTGATATAAAATATTTCCTAGATAAAATTATTTATAAAATTGGGTCATTTTATACTAAGGTTTCAAGTTTCACAAAAGGGAAAGAGCAGTATTTAGTTATATATCTACCGCTAAAAAAAGAAGCTAGAAATGTAAATATTATTTAGATTTCGAAAGTTGTTAGAACGACTTTTTTCCGTTTACGAAAGGAAAAGGATAATTTCATTTAGTTATATATTTATCTATGCAGCTAGAAATACAACTATACATTTCTAAAACGTATGTAGAATTAATTTTTAATGCAGCATGTATAGTTTATGTTAGCTGAGTATATATGGTTTCAGGTTTCACAAAAGGAAAGAGTAGTATTTACTATACATCTACCACTAAGAAAAGAAGCTAGAAATGTAAATATTATTTAGATTTTGATAGTACTTAGAACTTTTTTCCCATTACAAAAGTAAAGGGATAATTTCATTTAGTTAAATATTTATCTATACACATATTTCACATTTCTAAAACATATGTACAATTAATTTTTAATGAAACTTTTTGCTGATGTTTTTGCTTTATAAAAAACGATGTATAGTTTGTTAGCTGAGTGGGTGTATGAAACAGAAATAATGCCCATCTTTTCTCATGTTAATCTTAGATATTTCAGTGAAGTAAATTACTGTTTTTAATGAAGAAATACAAACGAATCCCTCACTTTCCGTAAAATATTTTTAATGGAGAAATACAAAGGAGACACACTCTTTCCATAATTTTTATTAAATAAGTCAGGTATTATGCTTGACAAGTATCTCCGTCACATGCGCTTTCAACTTTCTGAAAGGGAAAAAAGTACGATTATTTGCCTAGAAAGGTAAAAATTTAATACAACACATACATAAGTTACATTAAAAATCGAAGGTAAATCAAAATGCGCTCTTATTAAAAAGAATTTTGTTTTGGAATTTATGAAAATTATTCAATATAAATAGAAAGCATACGATAATAACTCACTATTTTCGGACAGTTAGTAAAGTACAGTATATGCCAAAATATACAGTACTGAAACTCGCGCATCTTAAACACTTCTGTTCGCTTGTCGACCGTGTTCGCAGTAGTGAAAAGGAAGTTGTGCAATTGTTGTTGGAAATGGGTCTCTCGACGGAGGAAAAAGTATTCATAGTTCAGCATTACTTCCGCTCTTAAGGAAGCGATCGTGAAGGTGAACCGAGTTTGAAAGAGGTGGCAGAACAATTCCTAGAAGAGTTTTAATAAGACGGCACTAAGTAACATGGTTATGCTGTCTATTGTTCTGGTAGTGTACTGTTTCAACAGAAGGAGAAACCTGATCGACCAGTAACTGTTTCGATAAATGAGAATCACGCACATATTCTCCAGCAGGTGCTGTATTCGCCCCGGCGAAGTATACGACGAACGGCTTTGAAACTGAACGTCAGCAGTACGTCCGTTCAACGATTGTCTAAGGACATAGGTGGATTTCCGTACCGGATACAGATTGGACAACGCTTGACAGAACCAAGTATGCGAGCCAGGATGGAGTATAGTGCAACATTTTAGGCCATGGTGTACCAGGATGCAGATTTCTTGAAGAATGCGCAGTCCGACGAAAGTCACATTCACTTGAACGGCTACATCATTCGTCAGACAACTCGCTTCCCTGGTTTTGAGCGGCCAGATGTTATCGTCCAGAAACCTCTACATAGTTTACGTGTGACGATATGGTGTGCCATTGCCATCTCAGCACATGGTTTATTAGGTCTCTATTTCCTTGAAGATGAGGAAGGCAGTGATCTTACCGTCCCCCAAGAAGGCTACAGAGATTTAGTGATCGAGCCATTTCTTCAAGATTTGAGAAGGTTCTATCTTGCAAGTAACATTCACATGAATAGACAGTGGTACCAACAGGACAGCGTGACCAGCCATACCGCTCGACATCTCTAGCGATGCTTCAGGAAAACTTTCCAGGACGAATCATTTCACGTGGTACTGACTTCCCATACCCGTCCTATTCCCCCGATCTTACACTGCCTGATGCCTACTTGCGGGGAATGTTAAAGGAGGGTGTATTCAACTGTGAAGATCCACCAAGAACTGTGCCTGCATTACGTGAGCAAATCATCTCCTTTCGCAGGAGTCTGCAGCAACCTTTGTTTCAGGATATGTTTGAGAATCTGCGTGAACGATATAAACACTGTCTACAGCGAGGAGGTGAACACTTACATTACACATACCGTGGTAAATCAACACGCTAATAGTGTGTGTAAGTATGTGTGTAATGGTTATTTTAATTTCTTTCAGGAGGAATAAACTCAGTGACGAAAATAATGTAATTTTGTTCATCATTTCATTTCAGTACTGTATACTTTGGGGCATATCGTATTATGTAAAGAGATTTATCTGAAAAGATAGTTTCATAATTACGTTTTTTATTCAAGTCCTTGAGAATTCGTATTCGTGAGACGTAAATACTACCATAAGACTGTAGGTAATTTGGAAGTAGGAAAGATGAAAAATGAGCAACCGCCTTCGCCGGGAATCAAACCGCGGACCTCTGGTATACGCTCCCAGCGTGCAGACCACCACACCACGAAGGCATGTAGAGCAGACGGAAGAAATACCTTATATACTCTTCCTTTTAAAACGCGACTAGGGATTTTAGGGGGCGCAATCGCCAAATACTGGGTGTGGAGAATCATCATCCACAACCCTTTTAGTTCGGGCGCCACTGTAGAAACATTACCTCTGGAATACGCACCCAGCGTGCAGACCACCACACCACGAAGGTATGCCAAGAAGGCGGGGGGAGGGTAATACCTTATAAGATAAAATAAAAGATCGAGTAAAATAGAGAGATGAACTAAATGAAAGTATGGAATTTTTTAATAGAATTTAATACTTTCATTCGGTACATTTTACTTTTATTACATACAAAGGTAACTGAAATATCAAACAAACGAAATTTTTTTGGTTATTTGATCGCAAAAGAACACTCGAAAGTTACCTGATTGGGAGAAGAGATCCTTTCGAGGATGCCTTCCTAAAAGAGTTACGAGATTAGTTTGAAAATTTCACTAATCAATTGATTTTCTTTTGCCTATTCATAAGCACAAATATAACTAAGATACATCTCGTGTGAAGTTTCCACGGGTATAGAAAGAGATGTCGAAAATTTCTTCATAAATCTCAGATAATATTCACTACGCTGGTGAACAAACAGAATTTTTTTTTTTTTTTTTTTTCAGTTGCAGTATTGAAGTAGACTCCAGAGCAAAGTCGCAGATAAGTCTCTTGTTTCGTGCAGTATTAGGTTCTTTAGTAATACTAGAGATAAAATTTTTTCATTTTAAACAGCTACTTATCATCCAGGTAAACGTCTTTAATTGTACATTATTCTAACTTAAGTATAATTTATATATATATTATAAGCTGGAAAACGTGTAGTGATTTGGTTTACAAAGGAAGCATTATTTAATTGCCAGTTCTAGTCCTTCCTGTGGAAGCCTTACTTTGGGGCTTGCTGACTTTAGAAATAAGCATTGGAGCCACATACAGCCAGACAAATAATGTACTCAAAACTGATATAGTAACCAATTCTCTAGTAAGGAAAGACAACCGACACATCAAAAGAACTAGTAAATTGTAACATTTATATGAATTAAAGCATTTTCTTATGATTTGGAACCATTCTGTCATTTTGTCGTTTGATTAGCTCTTACCAAGATATAAATGAGGTACGAGTTTTTAAGAAAGCTTTCTTGAAAGTTTAGACAGATAGCCTCTGGCAGCGACGCTGACCGTAATACTATTCTCTCGGGCAGCACTACTAATTAGTATCCAGCGTCAGCCATTTTGCTAGCCGAAATCACTCTCGAATCTTAGCCAACACTTGTTAGGCTGTTGCACTCTAGTCTCCAGCATCTAATTTTAAATTGCCATTTCTGTTAACTGATATCCCGCACGATGCGTAGATTTAAACTGTGAGTACAAGTAGTGCATTTGTTCAGCTTAAATTTTAAATTTAAAAAAAAGTTGTGTAAACCTTACCCTGTTGTTATTTACGTAGACGGGGCTGTAACACACTTGGCTACTTAGTAGGGATATTTATGTTAAATAAGGAGTGAAACCAACAAAATAAACATAGCTACCAATGCTAAATTATCTTTCACGTTTTTTTCCTCTTTTTATATATATGTTGGGGGGAGGGGTATGTAGAGAATTTTTACTCAATTTTTTTTACAACGCTATTAGCAAGAAATTTAAATCCACGATTATGAAAATATATATACACACAAAATGTAAATTTGATGATTCCTTTTCTTAAATCTCCCGAGGACATATTCGACGACAGGGAGAAGAATTTTGCTTGCTTTTAACTTCCATGCGTTTTGATCCATTCTGAAAACCATTAACTATTTCGATCTGCTTTGACTCTCTGATATTAATTAAGACACAATAACACGCCGAATAAATACTAATTCAGAAGTCAAACAACAAAAAATCAGCGTTAATTTACAAAATTTTCACAGAACTAGTTTCGATGGTTTTACCGAACCATCATCTTCAGCTGCAAAACCGCAAATGAACAAGATAGGAAATAATGTTTAGATAAGATAAGAAAGCCTGTGAAAATTTTGTAAATTAACGCTGATTTTTGTTGTTTGACTTCTGAATTAGTCTCTGATATTATTTCATGCTCATATCCGCCCAGACAAACTCTGGAATATTTCTATCATTATAAAATATTAAAATAAGGCAAAATTTAATCTCAGATTTAAATTAAATGGTATATGCATTTTGAGGGACAGTCTTAGAACCTTATTCTTTGAAGAAAAGTATTCCACATACACTTCTCACAGCTGCATCGCCTTAAATACCAAAGGGCATAAGGAACTCCTTATTAAACAAAATAGAACAGCAAAACAAATTTTGTGGACATACTTTACTTTTGGAAAGTTTAACCGTACAGAGGTAACAAAATTCGAAACATTAGTAACGAAGCTAATTTAATGTTAACATCAGAAAGAAAAATTTGGAAGAAATATCAACAACTCGATTATGATTAAATAATACAATTTTACTTTTTTACTTTATACTTTTAAAAACATTTAAAAGCTTTCTGGTAACATTTTTGGCTCTTTTACTCTAATTTTAATACTTTTCCTTATTCAAAGTTATGTCATATCATTTTCAAGGATACGCAAGAAATGGATTTAAATATTATGAAATTTCTGAATATAATGTTTTTACGAAGTTGCCAAATATCTCTTCTTCCTGTTCCACAACTTTTGTTTCCAGTTCAACGCGTCTAATTTGCACTGAAGAGTCATTAGGTTTATCGAAGCAGAAGGCGTAAAAAATATACAGTTCCTCTGCTAGAACTCGAACTCCGGACCTTCCAACTGCTAGCTGCACGTGTTTTTTAATTATACCACAAAAGTATGCGCTAAGGAGAAAGAAAATACCTCACAACAGTACTTGAAATCCTATCCAGATGCATTTTAATCAAGTTATTATTGGCAGACGTGCTGGCTGGCATTAATTGCCTAGCCCAGCGGTTCTCAACCTTTTGACTAAAGCGAACCATCTAAACAAAAACTGAAAAACTTTAGTACCACCACTACATTTTACAATGATTATTTTTCAATTTCTCAATAGAAATATTGAAAAAAATATGTTTTTCCATTTGTACAACCTGTTAGCTATTTGTATTAAATATGCACACATAAAAAAATATTAGATTAAAAATTGGTTACCATTTTAATTATCAAAATTTAAGTTATAATACTTTAATTCTAAAATTTATTGTGAAATTTGAA